AAAGTCCACTGCTGAACATAGGTCACACAAAATTTTGTGGAAAAGGATTTTGCCATATTTGCAGCGCTTGGCGGGCGGGTTGGAAACCGCAGTTTTATTATTATTTTGAATTGCAGTCAGGAAGATGCTGCTGTCCATATCCTGTTTCTGTTTCTCTCTGTCGCCTCTTACGAAACGTGGCGACAGATACACTATTATAATTCAAAGCGACGATCTTTTTTTACCATGCTTCCATTTCTGAGCCATGTTTGAAGTATAAAATCTCTAGCTATTTGGAAATTTATTTTAAAATTGATTGCAAAATGTATAATAAACAGACAAACAAAGAAGAAAGCGAGTTCACAATACAAATGTGGTATAAATATTGACACGGTAAACATTTATCTAGCTTAATCTAATATAATTATGGCCATTGGAAGTTTGAAACTGCTTTGTCCTTTAATAGCGTATTGTTATTTTGTTCGTGTAAATGTTGTTATTATTTTTTATATTCATCAAATAAAATTAACGACGACTGGCAAGCTCCATCCATTGTGAACCTTAACCTATAAGAAGAATAATTAAAAAGCTCCTAGTACTTATAGTGATAAATTTTAACAAATAACTAAAAATTGTCTTGTTGTTTTGTTTTGTTTAAAATATCCAATTAATTTAGGAGTCAGTGAAAGGGAACAATAATAACTATAGACTATTGCTTAATATTTTTTGGCAAGGTTATAGTACGTTAGCGACTAACGTACTATAACCTTGCTAATAGCTAGTAACTAACTCGACACGTGAATTACGATGATTTATCGATATTGAATGGTTTATTATAACGATTGAATAAATGCATTGTGTTATACGTTATAAACATTAAAAACTTGTTGTTTATTGTACAAATTTGAATATTTGAAAGATTGTTGTTACTATTTAAGTAAACCATTCTCTGATAATTATTGCTATAATAAAAACTATTTTAATTGTCTTTGATAACCTTTTTGTTTGTTTTTTAACCCTAGATAACATTATGGACCCTGATATAAAGAGAAGTGTTCTCTTTTTAAAGATTACATTAGATTTCATTAAAAATACACTTTGCTTATTACGATAAAACGTTTCATCAAATACAAATACAAAATAACGAACAAATTGATTAAAAGAGGTGAAGTATTATAAAAAATAAAATTGATGTAAACGATATATTGCTACATTTTAAATAACATGATGACTACACTTTTGTAATCTAAAATAGGTATGTATACGTTACAAAACTTTGGTCAGTGTCTAATCTAAAGGGAAGTGAAAAAGATATAGCCTTTAACGTCTCACTGCCTTCTCAGTCTCACATTTGTCATCTGTTTGTATAAAATAATAAAATGTCTGTGGGTGTTAGTTTTTTTGGCATTCTTTGGGGGAGGCCTATGTTCAGCAGTGGACTTGTGAAGGGCTGTAATGATGATGATGATAATGATGATGGGTGTTAGTTTGTTAGGGTAATTACTTAGTATGTCTATGGGCCACAGCAACCGCTTACCATCAGGTAGACTTTGTGCTCGTTTGTCTCCCTTATTCTATAAAAAAAAAACATAACGTTATTTGATGTCTTTATTATCAATTTTCTAGTCAGATATTAAATTAAAATCAAACTTGCATATAACATCGTATTATCTTACCACTACCAATGACATACAAGGGATACTATTTTTTTGACCTAGAATATGTTTATAGGGACAAAATTTGTTTCCTTTTTAAGTATTTTGTAACATCAAATATCAATAGTTTCGTGGCCAACTGTTTGCTAACATTGAACGCGTGTTTATGCATATATAATAAATGAACAAGCCACAACTTTTCAACAGCTTCTAAAATAATCATACATCAATATCAAAGGACTAGTTTTTCTTCTGATAAGCGAGATATATAATAAGCTAATTGAATCCGTGCGTATAAAAAGTATTAATACCTATTAACACTTAAACGCAATAATTAAATTACTATGAAATAATGGAATTAATGCAAACCTAAAATTATTAAAAAAAAAGCTCAAGTAATTTACTAACAATACTTAAAATTAATATTATTTTACAATACTTATATTATATTTAAAATTCACCCCAAAACATTGGAATCCTTAAAGCAGCGATGTTCTGCATAATGAAAGAATAAAAATTCCGTTGCTTTTAATATGTAACTATGAATATTTTTTGTACCTATGTATATCAGATTATTTTGTAAGGTATGTCTGGTACTATCGTACGGCATTCGAAGGTAAACCTGTTTGTTGTAAATACCTGTAAGCATAATTATCGCATGCCAAAGCTGTGGCGATTGCCGCCAATACTCCCGTCCGTGCTGCGCTCCTAAATATAAACGAGCGTTCTTTTGATCTTTACCGTATAATGCTGTTTGCTTTAAATCGTAACAACTTTCTCGAGAAGGGTAATATAACAAAGTGATTCATTGTAAGTAGCGAGACTCAACCGAATATAATATTCAACAAGTATATTGTATTTCATTTTATCAAGTAGTTAAAAATCATTCTATATTTTAATATTTTTAAAGCAATTTTATTGTCTCTTCATTTTTGCTTCAGGAAATATTAATTCTCTTAAATTTCATCATAGTTTAAATTTTTTTATATTATAATATTAAATTTTGATTAGTATTAAGTTCGTTTTACACGTGGTAGAGCCAGATGAGTTTTCCGGGGAAGGATCACTTTCGCAAATAAAACCAACGTAAAAAAGGAACAGCCTAATAGCTCCGTGTTTCTATCGAATGACGAGAAACGGAGACACTAATTCGTAAGGGGCATTCAATTTAGTCCTCCGGGGTAAAACAACGTATCTGTATCTTATTTTTAATTGAGGATAGAAACGTTTTTAAGTTTCTATGGATCAGGTGAATTATGTGCTTGTTAGTCGCCCTTACTCCTATAAAAACTTAAATTGAATTTGATTGCGCTGCTGATCTGCAGATCTCAAAAAATATTGTTTGTATCATCTTGTTACCTGTATTAAAGTTTGTGTATAAGTTGTGGAATAAAGCAAATTTTATAGCAGATTTAACATTATGTTATTTATCTAACCGCTATGTTAATTGGCTCTAAGCGATGTCTACTAAAATTTAATAACTGCTTTAATATATAGAGTAACGACCTGAGAGCGTGAGTGTCGCGGTGAATAAAATCATGAAATCAATAATAACATTCTGTCACATAGCCTTACAAAAAAGCTAAATATACTGGTACTTTGAGTACATATTGTTTGCACATGGTCACACTTGATAATCGGAGATTAATGAGGTTAACTGTAAATATATATAACAATTGAGGACAATGAACTTTTTTTATGCAAATTTTTGTTGTATAGAATGTTTTGCGTAAATATTGTAATGCTTTAATTTAAATATGTTCCGAGACGAATGTGGTTTGTTGCTAAATTTAAGAAATAAAACCTTAAGTAAAAGGAACCGCGGAGTTCGTAAAATTATTACCATTGTTATATAGCCTTCTTATTTCTTTTCCCATTTCTATGGACATCGTACCTATAAACATATTCATTAAAACTCGTTTAAAAGTTTACTTGTCCACTTATCTTATTCTCTTGTTTTATTTTTTTCTTTTTACTTAAAAGATTATAACCTGTTAAAATTGTGTTACAATATGTATTATTATTTTAGTCAGTGATATATTAGAATGCGTTTTTGAAAATTCAATGTCAATGTCAAGCACATTCCTACCTTTTGTGATTTAGACCAAATTGAATTATTTGTCATATATAAATGTTCTCTTATTTTATCACATCAATAAATATAAAGTTACTTGTAAAGTATAAAAATAAGCACGCATACCTTAAAACACTTGAAATTTTTGCTCAGTCATGCATTGACCATCGCTCTTTAACGATTGGTTATTCCGCATACGTTGTTGCTACGCCTAAATGAATACTGATTTTCAGAGTTAAAAATATATAAAAAAATATAGTCCACTACTTTCATGAACTCGTCATAAATTTCGATAAATGCTTCAGGTGGCCGAGATGACTATCATTGGCCTTATCTGCCATTACGTTTGTTAGATGTAAATATATTCCGATTCAGGTGAATAGGGCAAGTTAACCAGGCCCCGGGCGAGCCGTATGAAAAATATTTGGACCAGTGCCAACTTTGCTCGGTTCTCGAGCGTCGCGACGCCCCCGCTCGAACGGCTCGATGGCTTCGTAATGCAATACCTTACACTAAAGTGCATCTTGTGTACGCATTAAATGCTTAAATTATTTTAGTATTTAAGACTTTAGAGCTACTCTTGGTGTTAATCTCTAGGTATTATCAAGTAACTTTTGGAAGATCCTAAAGCATTTAATTATCTTGGTAAACGAACCACGCCATATATTATAGTACCTACAATAACTGTAAATAGCCTGCCTTTAGATTTTAAAAAAGATAATGAGTTGCTGAGTAATTAAATTATTAGAAACGTTAAAATTATTAGGAATCTTTATATTTCGGAATCTTTATAAAATTCATTTGTATTTGTACATCAATAGTTAGGTATAATATAATAACGTTTATAAATCATATATCATAACGTAACATAATCTTAGTGTTTGTAAATCACTGGAAATAACAATAATAATTTATTAAAAAAATATACAACAATTATAAACTATGTAAACGAGAAAAGTTTCTGTCGACAAAATGTATACCAGTTTGGCAGACTATATCCTGAAATATATATTACGATGTGTTTATGTTAAGTAAATAAATTAAAAAAAGACGTGTCGTGTCAATATCACGACGGCTCCAAATATTTTATTACAACATTTTTATATATTTTTAATTGATATTAATAAATATTTGTATTAATTTAATACATAATTATGTTGTGAACTAGTTAAACAATACTTCGTACGATGTAATATTACTTTTAACTAAGCAATCACCTGTGTCTCTCGTGTTTACACGGTAATTATACACTTATGCGTAGCGAACACTTACGGTAGCTTTGTTTATTGCAGGTGAGTAACGGCAATGTCATCGATACCGGAACACCTACCCTGCTGGTATTTACCATTTTGATATTTACGAAATTTAGCATGCGTATGCGCTTATTAAATTATTCTTATTAATAGTAATTTCAATATTTAAACTGTTATCATTATGTTCGTTAGAAATATTTCTTTGCACTAACTGTTAAGTAAATCCATTACAATTAACCTACATATTCACACTTTACTGGCGTTATTAGATTTAAAAGCTATTTTATATTCTCGGGCATGTCTGTGCATTATTTTACGGTTTTAAGTTGTTATTTCATTCTTCCGTAAGATTCATAATCGCCGCATTAGCAGTGCTTACTGCTTAATAGGTACGTTATACCTGTATACTTTTCTAAGCATGGCATGTCATCACTACATTACATTACATAACAAATTAAACTCATTAAAAATCCACACTTTTTTTAAGTATAACTTTTTATCTTTTTAATCTATGCACATGATAATTCACCTCCCGGCTATGGCAATTTGACGGATTTCACATATTATATGCTTTTTTGTCAAATATACAGGTTTTCTTTTGATGTTTTCAAGCAGGTAAAGTGCCGGTATTAGAGATGAAATGATAGGTGCGTGGCTAGGGAAGAGGTTTCGAATGTCCCTTTTCGTCGATAATCCAACTTTCGAAATAATAATAATGTTCCCCAAACCAAATTTCTGTTACGGCAGGTAGTCTTTAAGAAGACGAGGTGCACGACATGTTTATAGTGCACGAGTTTAGATGCACTCTCTATTCCCTCACTCTCATAGTCCGTTGGGACGGTAATCCGACACGACTGGAGAGAGGTCAGGCACAGAACTAACGACTCCGTGATTGACGAGGCACAGTCGAACACCTCCAATATCTTGGCTCTGGGCTGCTACTGATAATTTCTTGACAGAAAACCAATAATTATTTTTTTTGTCCGACCCGGGATCTCATGATCATCTGCCGCGCTTAAGACTGTAATGTACCTACTGTGACTAGGAATACATTATCATAAGTATGATATCCACGTAAGTCACAATAAATGCGCTAATGTACGCCGCTTTTCATATAACTTTTGCTTCATCAGTCCGTTAAAGTCCACTGCCGAACATATGTAGGCCTCTCCCGTTGTAGGGGAGAGATGGAGATGGTTATACTATTTTGTGGCATTTCCTAAAGCGTTGTTACGACACCTATGAGACAAGGTGAGATAGTGGATTCTTTTACGTCGTATCGCTTGCTTCACTTCACACTAGACATGGAACGAGTAGTGATTCGCCGAGTACTCGGCCACCGGGTGCTCGGCCTAAATTGGGCCGAGTCCTCTGCCGAATACTCGGCTTTAAAAAAAACGCGGTAGCGGGCAGCGTACGGTTATTTCCCTTATAAACTAAACCCAAATAGGGCCGAAAAACTAGTGTTTTTGCATCACAATCTTCCTCTCTTAAATTTTAAATATTAGTAATAATAATTTCTATTATAGATTCTTATGTACGTTCTAAATATTTCTGCTGCTTGTCATGTTCTTGATGTTTTAATGTGTCTAATATAATAATAACGATAAAAACTGGTTTTTTGTCTATTTTTCTCTGGAATATAATTAAGGCCGAGTACTCGGTACTCGGCCGTTAATACTCGTTGCTCGGCCGATCCCTAAAAAAGTCCGAATCCGTCAAGTAACCGAGTACTCGTCTCATGTCTACTTCACACATTACATCAACAACCTCTTTCATCCTGGACAGAAAGTTTTTCAAGAATACGGTAACTAGCAAGCACCTAGAAGATTTCTATGATCATCACATTTTGCTGGTGAGCTAGTGATGGACTAGTAATACTACTCCCTATTCAACACTAGTATGTTAAATTTAGTGCGATGAGGCTTGACTTTTTGGATAATATGTAGTGTAACCCCCACGACAATTTATTATATTATTGTTAGGTTTAGAATAAAAGAGTATCTAGTTTAAAGTCTTAGATAGATTGACAAGCCTGTCTTAAAACATTAGTAATAATTTTGAATAATTTCCCCCTGGTCACAACACTACGTAGTAATAAAATATTCTTCGATAATACTACAACTCAGGTTTGATCCCCGCCACTACGAATGAAATTGTAAAATGGAATTTTAAATGCTTATGCTAATGCATTATGTATTTATTAGACGGCTCCGTGGCGCAGTGGCTTAGCAATAAGTTGCAGGTTGCAGCGCTAAGGGCCGCTGGTTCGTATCCCGCACGGAACAAGTATTTGTATGGCGTACAAATAATTGTTCCGGGTCTGAATGTTTGTCCTTGTAAAATTTATGTATGTAAACTGTCCTCAGTATACAGAAAAAAATCCTAGTGTGGGGGTAATGATTTAAAAAAAATCATTTACATTTTCTTCCGCACCTGCAAAGCTGTAAGACCTGACATGCAATTTGATTGTATGGCTGGTTGGAATCGTGGTTGACTTGATTTTGACGTTTGACGTTTCATTTCGTTGTAATGTATAAATGTATCATTGGCAAAATATTACCATTACTAAGAAAAAACGCAGTTTCAGAGTGATTTCTACCTGCAAACCTGCTAACTCTGGTGAGAATTTACCTAATTTACCCAATAACCCTTTCATAAATGCGCTCCACTTGCGCTGTAACTTAGCGGTTTTTATTTTTACACAATATTATTACAATACAATAATTATTTCACCTTGCTGTTGTGATTCGCTCATTATAGTTTCTTTTTTTAATTACGACGTTAGCAGGTACGCAGACGAGAGAACGTGTACATACATTTATTTGTGTATGATGGGCGAGGCGCTGACTACTTCCAGCTCGCGTCTGCTTCGCATGCAAACGATTTCTTATTGATTCATGGCTATAAGCTATTTTCAACTCTGCTATGTGTACACACAGAGGTGTTCTGTTGCTCGGCAGGTTGTTCTTCGTTATATACGACTATGTGTATTGCATTTAAATCAGATATTTTAGTGGCAAACCTAGGATATGGATGTCATTCGGAAATAAAAGCCGTGATTTACCAGACATTGGGTGTGGTATGACTACGTCTCTGTTATTTATTTCATATTATATTTATTTTGCTGAAATGCTTATCTATGTTTCCATTATGAAAATAGGTCTCCCCGATAGATTGCCTCATAGCAAGCATATTTGCCATATTTATGACTGATTGGTAAACGCAGTTTTTTTTATTTGAGCCCTTCACAGGAAGATGTTGCTGCCCATATCCTGTTTCAGTTTCCCTCTATCGCCTCTTACGGGATGACATGGGGTAGTGGATATTCCAATACCGCATTCCTATAGCCACTTCACGATGTCTTTACCTCAGAAGATTATTAAGGTTAAGATTTATTATTATTATTAATATCCTTCATATGGCGGTCTATTTCCAATAAGCAAGATGTAAAATACGAAGTGCGACAGCAAATAGTTTAACAGCGTTAAACGCGAACAACCGTGAATACTGAGGTTGTCAATCCGCCTGTCAAGCGAGGCAACCAATAACAAATCCGCCGATAACTGAAGAACCCGTGTATCTTCTACCACTTAGTGGAGTACGGCGTTAATTTGAGGCAATTCATTACACAAATTTTAAGAAAATAATTTTTTAAGATCCGCGTTAAAAATAATATTATAACCTTTCACAATCACGTTCACGTGCAATATCGCATCCACCACTAAACCAACCACTGTATATTTTTTATAGAATAAAGGTGATAAACGGGCACACAGTCCACATGATGGTAAATGTATGTTATGGTAGGAGAATTACATTAGATGCGTTGTAACCCCTGATGACTAATAAATGCCTAGTTTCCAATAAAAAGGATCCCCGGTTCACTTTACTCATTATACGAAACAGGAGCTGCTATTTTACGCTGGTATCCTGTGAGAACGTGGTTCTTTCTTGGTCGAGCATCTGACCTATTCGTGCTAGAATCATAATATAGCTGCAACGTGGCTCTAACACGTGTAAAGTTTTTACCCTAACAATATTTTAAACTCCGTATAGTTATAATACGATTAATGTACGAATTTAAACATTTGAATATTATACAAAATCAACTGTTATTTTAATTTTAAATTGTTGTTTAGAAATTGGGAATTATTTAAAGTTTTATTATGTATGTAAATGTTACAGTCAAAACTCATAACCGGTCAAAACCACTTTTGACTGCAAACTTTTTTTTATGAGTTTTGACTGACATATATACTATAGACACAAAAACGTCTCAAAATTAAAGTTACATCATATATTCCACCCACCGCTTGGCACTAGCCTCCTCTCATTTCTGCTTCTAACACGCATCGGGGAATCGCTGTGGACGCTCCTTTGCCTTATAACACTCTCAGAATAGTTGGAAGTAATTGCACTCATTACCAAATATGTTACATCTATACATATAATAAAACTGTAAATAGCAGATGTCTGTACATTTTATATTTTTGTAATAAAAGTGATTGAGGGGTACTAAAAATAAGTAATTAAATACATTTCTACCATTTTTAGAATTTTCTGTCTGTCTGTCTGTCTGTCTGTCTGTCTGTTTGTTTGTTAACGTATCACGTTTAAAGTACTAATTTATATCATAAGAATTGTTAAGGAAATTATAAAGTAAACCTTCGGGTTACATTTAGTCTTTATTTCATTAAAATCGGTTCATTCCATCAAAAGTTATGATAAATATTCTGAAGTATGGGTAGGGAATTTGCTCAACGGTGGCTTTGTTTGAGTCATCAAGTTGATGTTAGCAGCGCCATCTCTCTTTAAATATATACATATAATAAAAATGATGATAACATGTTGTGTCTCTTTCTGTACATTGTATATATATATTATGGTGACTAAAATCATTATGGGGAACTAAAAATAATTAAATAAGTACATTTTTATAATTTTTAGAATTGTCTTTCTGTCTGTTTGTCTGTTTTTATATGAAAGCATCACGTCTAAAGTAAACATCTTTTTTTTTTCAAAGAAATCGTTAAGAAAATCATAAAGCGTATCTTCGAGTTACATTTAATATATGTTTTATT